GCGGCGCTGTGGGAGGCGGGGCCCCCGAGGGGTGGCCCGGGGCGCCGAGATAAGAGCGCGGCCGCGGGGAGGGCTGGCCGGGGGCTCCGCGATGTCGCTAGTGCTGCTGAGCCTGGCCACGCTGTGCTGGGGAGCAGTGTCCCCGGAGCCGGTAAGCTTCCGCCCGCGCCCCTTTCCTGCGTCCCGTCCCTGCAACCCGGACCCCGACGGCGTCCGCACCCCCTCCCCTTGCGCCCAGCTCACGCTCGTTCCCGGAGGGCCGCCTGGAAGGGGCACGTCTGCACCCTCTGGGGGGCAGCCCGACGGGTCCGGCCAGGTCGCCCCGGGGCTTCAGGCTGCTGGAGTCAGGGGCGTCGTCGGAATCAGACGGACCCGGACTCAAATGCCAGCTGAGGCTCCGTGTCCTCATCTATGTAAGAGAAGAGTCATACCCAATTCAGTTGGATCTAGTGAGGAACAGGGACAGGGCTTGCAAGGCAGCCTCAAGGAGTGTGGCACATAGTAGGTGCTCAGTATTGTTATTGCTTGCACTCTTGAGGTCTCCCCAACTTTGGGCACAAGAACTGTATCTCCATTACCACTTGCCCTTTTTTGCCATGTTGATTCCCCCTGTGCTGGGGTACCATGACCTTGGAGCTGGAATCTGTTGGACTCTGGCCGGTTTCCTTTCTTCCCCAGTGCCTTGAAGGATTGAGGGAATCTCAATCCTGGGTCACTAATGAAAAATCTTTCAAAAAGCATTTGCAACTATATCTCCGCCCTCTTAGCATAGCATAGAGCATAAAACATGGTGGTTACTTGTTGATGGTTATGGGAAGACAAACCCCATTCATGTGCCCTGATGTCTCCAGCTATTATGCTTGTTGCTTTGCTTCTTCCTAAAATTTGTCTCACCGGCCCTTTGACAAGAACTCAGCTCCCGGGACGCCTGGGTGGCTCAGTCGGTTAAGCGTCTGCCTTCAGCTCAGGTCATGATCCCAGGGTCCTGGGATCGAGTCCCGCATCGGGCTCC